ATTAAAGAGTCTCAACATTAAAAGAGAATCAGAGATGCAGGTATATAGTAGACAGACTGTAATGTTCCTGAGACCTTTTCTGTTGTTCTGAGATTGTCGATGCCCGTGCCTGCACGTCCACATGCATCCTTGTTCTACGTCATGTATTACTTTGCATGTTGGTACTGATTAATATCACAGCAGTATACACTTCAACTACTGTGCATTCTCCAGTTTCTCTGCTTATCCTGTCAATCACCTTCTTACTGCTTAAAAGTCAAAATATTGACATGATCCTACATAAAACAGAAGCTGCTATTTGTGTAAATTATACACAAAACGCAGAGACAATGAGCACCCTACTGAACTGGTAACAATACATTTGCATTACATTAAAATCCATTCTCAGTTGCACATGATGTCAGGTTTACTGTTGGTCGCAGGAAGAGAATCAGGATTGTCAATTTAAAGATAAATGAGAACAGATGTTGAAAAAAAGCCAGAACATTAGAGACTGTAAGTCCTCTGTCTACATCTAAAGTATCTTCAACTTGCATCTACCGTTAATTTTCTTCTACAGTATGTTTCTCCTTGGATGTAACACATTAAAATAAAAAACATTTGCTCCCTATCATAGATTGAAAATGAATCAGAGCAAAATCACACTCTTCTGTATTAAATGGAAAACAAGTTTTTCTCATAGGAAAAGCAAATGTGATCTTTCTATGAATACACGTATTTTGAAACTATTGCTGTTGCTAGTATAACCTTGGTCATTTATATCAGAACTTGTATTTCTGACTGATATTTATCTCATGTCATCTTCTTGAGATCCTAGAACTGAGCGGATGTGCAGAATTAAGGGACGGGTCAGAATTTATACACTTGACAGTAAAGCCAAGCCTAGAACTCCTGTGTCTTGTTTCCACTGGCACGTAGAACGTATCTTGGTGAATCCAGATAAAGTTCAAACTTCTTAGCAAGGTATGGGAAGATGTTCACTAATTGGGCCAGTTAACCTCCTTCACAGTTTGTGAATACGCTCTCATTTTATGTTTTTGTACCTGCTGTACCTTCCACTGGAATATTCTCACTCACTCATTCTCCATCTGGGGAGAAACTCCTTTTCTACTGTATCAAAACCCACCTGAAAAGGCAGGTCCACTTTTCTAGGCATCAACTTGCTCCCTCCTCTCTTGCTGCTACCAAGCACTGATTATAGCATTTGTCACCCTGGATTCAACTAATTTTCTATCAGTCTACCTTCTTGTAAACTGCATCACATGTTGAAACATAACCAAATATTTGCATCACATGCTGAAACATAACCAAATGAAAAATTAAAAGAAAAAACAAACTTTTTTACTGGGAAAAATACAAAGGATTATATGAGTTAGTCTCAGACAGTTCATACATTTCATATTAAAAGTCATAATATTTTAAATGTCTTCTTAACATAGTTTTCTCTGAAAGACCACTTAGGATTGTTCCTTTTTTTTTTTCTCTCTCTAATAAGGAACTGCAATTAAACACTGCTAATAGGGACAAAAAATTTATTTTTAAGAAATGTGAATCTATAACCTATGACATCAAATGGCTCCATCTGTTCTTAGAGTTTTTCAGTAACATTTTGTATTTATATCAATTGCATCTAATGATCTGGCATACTAAATTCGGAGAAAACCAAAAGGCAGAAATGTTCTCTAAAGATAAACAAAAAAGTAACCATCTGGAATTTACATTTTCTTTTTTTGCATGAAGAGAAAAAATACACATGCAAATTACAAAAAAAAAATAACATAGTAAGTTTAAAAAATATGAGCAGACTCTGCCAAGTGAAAGTAAAATCAGAAATTATTAATACAATGGATTCTAAACTTTCACTGAGTCTACCATTTTAAAAGGAATTTCTCTTCTTCATAGATGTCTGTAAATAAAAATAACAGGAACAGTAAAGCAACAAATAGTTACTGGCAGTGTAAAGAGAAGAGGGACTTTTAATTCTCTGTATTTCTGTTATAAAAAAATCTATGTGGAGGGACTTCATGCTGTTTGTGAAATTGCTTTGTATCCTAAATCTGAGCTTGTTGTCAATGAGCCATGAAATGAAACCTTGGAGAATATCCTGCCATACAGTGGAGTGATAGTCTCAACACACCTTTTCATTCCTTGTGTGGGCGACTCCTCATGTGTTTAACAGACTAGCTGCTTTGAATCAAGTATATCGCTAAAATGCTACATCGTGGATTAAAACTGGGCAGAAAAGAAAAAAATTATACAAATACGAGCTAGAAAGTAACCTGCAATAAATAGTACCCCCTTTCATGTGGGTTCACTTTGTTGTTTCGGTTACCCGCAGTCCAAAGACATTAAATGGAAGATTCCAGAAATATTAAGCTTTAAAGTAAGTTTTCAATGCCTTTCGGAGTAGCGTGATGAAATCTCACACCTTCCTGCCCTGTCCACCCAGGATGGGAATCATTCCTCTGTCCCGAGCATCCACTGCTGTATTCGCTACCCTTTCGTCAGCCACTTAGTAACCATCTTGTTAGCACGCCAGCTGCTGGGGGATTGCAGTGTGTTTAGGTCGCCTTTATTTTACTTTATAATGGCCCCAAAGCGCCAGAGTAGTGATGCTGGCAGTGTGGATATTCTCTTCCTGTGCCTAATCTATAAATTAAACTATCATAGGTATGTATGTATAAGAAAGAGATACAGGATTTGGTACTATTTGAGGATGCAGGCATCTACTGGGGGTCTTGGAACATATTTCCTGTAGATGGGGGAGGTCTTGTATTTTAACAAATGCATTTTGCTTCATAATTATATAATTAAAAGATAAATTAAGAGTAAATAAGACACTGCCCTTAATGTTTAATAAGGAGATGTTCCTATAAACACACTTGCAAGTATTTCATTTTCTCACCTAAATTCCCTCTGATATGCAGAAAGTATTATTACTTTCTTACCATATGAAAGTTAGGAAACAGAAACCATATAGTTCAAGATCAAAATTTGAGAATAGAATTGGAAATACCTACATTGTTTCTTTGCATGAGACAAATTCAAGCAAAAAAGTACTCATCACAGTAGCTCCCTAATTCTGAAGCCATAAACCACATGGGCAATTAAATAAATGCCAGGAATGGGCTACAGAGAGACGCAGTTCTGTGTAAGCACTCAAGTATGTGTAGCCAAGGGTGAAAGGAACAAAAATGTTGAGAACTGATACAGAGGAAGAAGATGATGGATGCTGTTCAGTGAGTTTCAAAAAGACAGTGTTTATTTCCCCTGCAACAGAAAGTGGAGTCTTACAGTCTATCTCCTCAAGCTTCATTTCCAAGGTCGAACCTTCTAAAGGTGTCATTTTATTATCTAGTTAACGACACATGATTAATGACACAATGACTCTCACACCAGAAAAAATTAAGCCATTCCGTTCCCAGTGTAACTTAAGAATTCTGATAAATACCACAGGACTATGTTTTTTTTGTTTTGTTTTGTTCTGTTTCTGGACATCTACACCTTTGGCAAATGCCAAAGAATCAACCAGTCAATGTTTATGCACGCTATCTGTGAGCAGCAAAGTTCTGAGTGAGAAAGATGGGAAAACATAATGGGAAAAACGTCAGCCTCGAGTGGGTACTAGACGTTTCATCTGTGTTGTCTCACTTGTTCCGCAGAAAAATGCTGTGCCGTTAGTTGGCTCAATAACCCTGATTTTACAAATGAGGGAGTTTGTGAGCTTCTTGGGAACTGGGTGGGAAGAACTTAAAAGCGCCTCCCACCCCTTTCCTCTAGGAGTAACGCCAGGCTCAGTTTGTACCGGCACCTGATGCCGTGTCCACAATGCAAGTAAAAGAGAATTAAAGGTAGCGAATATGTATTTGCTGGTGGATTACAGAGTGCACTGTTAGAACAAAGTAATAAGATATAAAAGCTCTAATAGGATTAAAAAAGTCTTTTCTGTCCAGAATAAAATTAAGGACTTCAATGGCCTGACTGACACTTATTCATGAAATCCTATGTCACAGACCATAATAAAATAACCTATAAAACTTAAGTACCTGTACAACCAGGAGACCATGAACAAGAAAACTGAACCCTAATCCTAATTCTTCCTCCAACCCAGAGGCAAGTCAAATAAACTTTGTGGGTTTTAGTTTTCCTAGTTATAAAAGGAGGTTTTGGCCTAGGTGAGTTCTAAGAATCTTTAAAGGTTTAACTAGTTATGGTCTAGACTGCTTCATTTGAATATGAATCTTAGTAACCAGGAAAGTAATCTGACTTTATAAATGATACTATAAGGCACATTTAAAATCCTGAGAATGACTCAATATGTTCAACACTATAAATTTAACCTACAAACATTTTCATAAGACTCAAACATCAGTGTTCCCCCAAAGTGCAGTTGTTCACCCAAAAAGTAACTTAACTTCATTCTAATCATATTCAGTTTGTTTTTAGATACATGAGCCTTAACTCTTTGCTTTCCTGCTATTTTCTTTACCCTTCTGCCTCTAAACTATAAATTGCACTGTATTATCTGATTTATAACGTTTAGTCTGTCATGTTCCAAAAAGATGTCTAGTTATCCTAAATTTACTCTCTCTTCTCTTACTAATAACATTTAAGGGAACCAGTACCATATATGTGTATTTTTTATCCTGCTGTTTATATTATAGGACACTTTTTTCTCTCTGTTAAAATCCTACAGGGGAAAATCATACAGAAACCACAAAAAACTCTAGCCAGAGATGATCAATGCAGAGCAAAAGCTATACTTCAAAATTCAATAGGCAGTAGAAAAGAGAAAGCTATAGTCTATTAATAAATGAGAATTTTAAAACTACATTGTAATAGAAAATAATTAGCGTAGGAATTAGAAAATTAGCCACATGGTAAAGTTTAAAATTTAAGATTTTAAAAGTCTTCATATATATTGTTAGAAAAAAAAAATCAATTTGATAGCATGCAGCTTTGCTTTGTTCTTTTCAATCCATCAGTATTTTAAAGGATACTTAGTACCAGAATAATGTGTGACTCTGCCACGAATTGGGCCTGGCTGCTTCCATGAATGTAGCTCTATAAAACAAGACAAAGAAGCAAAAATTACAATCTGGGGAAAAGCAGATTTTTTGGTAGATTTTTTTTTCTTTGTATTGTGTAGTTTTGTGCCTTGAAGATAAACAGTGGATAAATATACTAATTAAACTCCTATTTATAATTTTTGAATAAAATAATTATTAGTTATTTTTGAATAAAATTAGTTAACTAGAAATAACAGATAAAAATGGTTGATGTTACTGTAAACTGTAGAAAGCAACTTAACATCACAGTAAAACAATGTAACTTCTTAAAAGGCTTACCACAAATACATATACACAATGTAATGATTCTTCCACAGTTACTGTAAAATGTGCTTAATATAGCGTAGGTTACAAATTAGCGCAACTAAGTTTAATGATTCTCCATCCTTTAAGTAAGTAAAAAAAATGACCTATCACTCTTATATCACTCTTTACCACATTATCAAAGTATTTAAAATAAGGAGATACTTTTATAAATGCATTCATTTTATTAGAGAATTTAAACTGATTTTTTTTCAAATTATAATTAAAATTATTTTACCCCATTGAAAAATGTAGTTTTCTATGCCTAGTAAGATCTATATTAGTTGCTATCAGTCGATTACAGAAATCTGACAAAAATCTCCATCCAGGACATTCTGCTTCTGAAAAACTGATTCTCACGTATTTCTGCTTTAATGGAAAGAGCATTTAACTACAGGAGTGAGAAAGTTACTCTTTCTTGTCCTTCCCTCTGGGCGTGTCACCCACGAGATCTCAAATACTCAGTATCCCCTCGTCTGTAAAGTTAGGAACTGGATCAGGTGATTCCTGGGGTCTTTCTGAAGTGTGTACAGTCCTCTGTGTTTTGTCATCAGCTGTCTTAGTATTTTCATGTAAAGGCTGCTCTTGATACTCTGATCTAAATGGTCTTTATTTCCATCTCTAATTCTCAGTAATTCACAGTGCAGCTGCTTCATCCAAAGATGTGTTTAGATCTATTTTTAAAGCACAGTTTCAAGCAAAAGTGGCTAGAAAAAATAGCCATTTCTGGTTTATTATAGCTTCTGAGGCATGCGATCACGTATGTTTCCTTTTTACTCTATTAAACATTACTAATGAATGACAACAGTGTAGCATGACAAATACTATAATTACTTCAAGTCAGATTAGAAACTAAGACCCTGAGAACTAAGAAATGAAGGTTTTATCATTCTAATAACTGTTAACAGCATAGATAATAAATACAGTCATACCAAGTGCTAATAATAACTGCCATTTATCAAGCACTATGTGTGTGTGAGACACTTAAAAGTTTTACTTGCAATTGCTCATTTAATTCTGATAATCCTACAAGATAGGTATTTTCACTACAGCCATTTCATAGACCAGGGAACTAAGGCTTGGGTGAAGAACCTTGCCTGAGTCTTCCATGTCTGGGGTATGTAAAATCTGAGATTTGAGAGTAGGCCTGTTGGACTTCAGATTCTGAGCTCTTATTCACTGTGCTACCTTGTTACTTGCTGGCCATTTGACTGGCTGCTTCATATGTTAGCCCATCATATCTTAACCACCATATAAAGTAGTTATTCTCATGTCGTCTTCCAAATGAGGACACTGGGATTTCGAGAAATTAACTTAAGATCGCACAACAAGTAACTGGTGGAGTTTGGACTGTAACCCGGGGTTGAAGGCCTCCAGGGTCCATGCCTTTTCCAGCAGACAGTAACTTACCAAAAGATAGGAAGGAAAATGAGTGAACAGCCATATAAAAGCTTAACTGGCAATCATACAATTAAATACTGGCCATTACAGCAATTAAAATAACATCTGTATGACTGACTGAAATATCTGAACATAGCACTGCTGGATAATATGCCCCGATTTATATAACAACTGCAAGGTAGCCTGCCTGTATTAGAACCACACATTTAAAGGAGCAAAACTGGAGAGATTTTCTAGGTGAGTGGTTTCAGAACTTTTTAAGTGGAGCATCTTCTCTGGTCAGTGTCGTCAGCAGACGTCCACATTTAAGATCTGATGGTCGTATCTCGGTCTTACTCGACCTGATCTCTCTGAAGAACTGGCTGCATGTGCTCACTCTCTCCCTTTCCGTCGTGTTTTCTTCACTTGGCTCTTCCTGCTTCACTGGCTTCCCTCCCTCAGGCCCCCTGGCTGTTCCTTCTCATCACCCGAACTCTAAATTCTCTAGTACCTCGGAGCTCTGTAGACCTGAGCCTCTTCTCTAATACTCAGCCTTCCCAGGTATTCTCACCCAACCCAATGAGTTTAATCATTTCTGTCCTGACAATTCCTGTATTTATATCTGCAGCCCAGTCCTTCAGACTTTGATATAAAATCTGAGGAATCTGGTTTTTTATATGTAATAGAATCAATCATTTTTTTCACTATGTGACTCTAAATAAAAGAAGATGCTATTTTAAAATATGTAAGTTAGTAGGAATGCAGTAATGACACCCTAGACCCAGATCTCCTTTGTGTATTCAGGTACCCGGAATACTAAAACAAAATAATCTTCAATATTTCCTTTCCAGTTTCTTTCTGAGAATAGGAGCCTCCAGGAAGAGACACTATCTTATTTGGTGTTAAATGTACCAGAAATTCTTAAAGGCATTCTATGATCTTCCCACTGTATGATGCTCTAATCTTGCTTACGATGGAATCAATTAATTCTTTAGTGAAAACAAAGTGCGAGCAGGCAGGCTGGCTTCTGCGGGTAAACGGGAGGATCCTGGGTGACCACTGCTGCTGCACAAAAGAGCTGAAATCCCAAGGTGCTTCTCGCTGTGACGTTCGAGTAAAAGATTTCCCACTTCCTGATAGAGGTTTCCAGCCCTTTCCTTAGGGGTCCTTCCTGTATTCATCAGACTACGTAAATGTGGCACTAGTTCTTGCTAGGCTGCTGTACCAAGTGGCAGACGTGACTGCAGACCATGCAACAGCGAGGCCAAGTCCTTCTGGGTTTGCCGGAAAGAAGGGATGTAGGTAGGCATTACCTACATCCAGGAGGCAGAGGATGCTGCTGTGTTTGACTTCCCCAGAGGCCACACAGACCGTGTGCTTGAAATTCCTACGTATGTCATTAGAAGTTTGACTTGAACTAAAAATTGAGTGTAACACACGTAAAACAGTTCTTTATGAAAACAGGAAATCTGATTTGCTTACTGAAGTGTTTTGTATGTCGGGAGTCTGCAGTAAGCCCGCTTGCTGACTGAAATGCTAGGGTGACTTTTAGCCCTAACTGAGCTGAACTTATTGCACGGCCGCTTATGGAGTGTGAAACCATTCCTTGCCCCCACCGCACTCCCAAAAGGGCTTCTGAGACTTTTTTCCCCACCCTATTTGAGGATCCAAAAGGTGGACCACTCAACCCAGGTCAGTGAGTCCCAAAATGTGTGTGCATAAATTCACCTGGGATATTGATGAAAAACAAATTCTCAGAATTCATATATAGAGATTCTAATAAAATAAGTCTGTGTGGTAGGCCCAGGAATTCACACTGTTCATGAGCTGAAAGCCATTTCTACATGCCTGCATTTGCAAGAGGCTGTGTGGGGAGAGGGGATGTGTAATCCTGCAAAAACTGTCACAAAGGCTCCTTAGTCAGAGAGAACATCTTCCTAGTAGGAATTTTTTTTTTAACTATTAAAAGAATCGCTATGTATTCAGAGAAAACATCACACTAGCATGAGGTGTTCTTGTTATAAACAAGACCTGCTCCTTTAAATGCAGGAGCAGAGAGCCCCAGGGACACGAGCCCACGGAGTGCTGGCTGCTCCGTGAGCCCCAGCGACAGAAGAAACTGCACGATGCTTCTCAGGCAAGGGAGCAACAGATAACAGCCCAGCCTAGCTCTAAAAACTCTAATTTCAATCATCCTGTTCAATTTTCTGAGAGATTTTCTAGAATACTACCAGACACGTGGTGAAAATGAAGAGAGACAGAAACCACTGAAAGGGAAGAACCAAACGGTGGGCTAGCGGCTGCTGACCAGGGGCGGTGCTTGGACAGCTGTGACCCCAGGCTGGGAAGAGGATGACGGGCCTTAGTCAAACCCTTCTCTACAGAAAGCTGGCAGCCCTGACAGCACAGCGGAGAAATCACTCACCTCATGAGCTTCACCTCAATTACAGTGTCAGTCAGACTGGGGGTTCCTATACCGTAAGGCGGCGGGGGGCGGGTCAGGAACAGCAGAACAACAACAAATTCCAATCAATACTAAGGAAACCCTAAGCAGAAGACGCTGAAATAGTTCACTGCGACTGCCCCTCCCCAGAAGGTCAGCCGATGGGAACACAGTGCAGGGCCGGGAGACTCCTCGGAGACCATGAAACCACCCTGAGCCCCCAGCAAAGCGAGTCAGCTACTGGGGATAAACTATGTTTGGAGAAAAGGCTTTTATTTTCAGAACAAAACTGATGAAACGACTGATGAGGAAGAGAGAGCTGCTCCTACTCACTGTGCTTTCAAAACGTTGAGAGGGTAAAAATAGGACCACATGGTGAGACTATGTTTCTTCCAAGTGTGCGGCAATAACTTACAAGGTCCTGTGATTCAGTTTCTAAGTAATTTTAGTAATTACTATTTTCTTGACAACAGCACATTTCTAGACCTAGCATAGATTTTGTTTTATTCACCAATAAAAGAAAACTTGAAATACATAGTGTAATTACTCTGATAGAATTTTTTTGGTAACTAAAGTAGTAAGTTCAAAATGAAGTTATTTGTTATACATTTTAAAATCCAACTGAGTAGCTTCTGATACGAGATAAACTGAATACGTAAATCTAAAATGCAAAAGTTCTGGTAGCTCTGTTATATCAGGTATATATGAAAAGTATAATAAAAAATGTGTGGGTTTTTTCTCTTTATCCTTGGGAAAAAGTCAACCATCAAGAAAGATTATTATTCTGTCATCATTATAAATGCTATCCAAAATGCAAGAACCAAAAAACCAACTAAGGTAGCTTAAAATGTACATTATTCTGTGTTAAA